TGTAATCAACCACTTTCTACTGGGATTTAAGTACTATTCCACCATTGTTAGACCAAGAACCTATGGCTAGATAGGTCATAGGTCATAGGGGAGAAGTAACTACTATTATTATGCTAAATGTACATAGTATTAAACCAACTCTAACTGACTTATCATATATATGTATATATATTAAAATATATATATATAGGGGGAGAGAGAGAAATTAATACAACTCTCAACCCTAATCAGAGATGTTTCTATTTTCAGTAGTTGGTAATTAACACAAGACTCACAACTGACCTAGATGCAATTTAGAGACTATAGACTTGCTCAGCCCTAGATGGAATATCACCTCTTCTTTTCCCAAAGCTCATGAATAACAGCATAAGAAAAGATAGAAAGGCTGTAAGAGCCAGAAACAGTAGATGGATATAAGGAAACAGTGCCCTCTGGACCACAGGAATGTAGCTGAACATACGAACTCAGTGATTGTGACAGCATGCACAAGCCCCATGTAAGTTTAAGATAGAACAAAGCCCATCTTGAAGACGGAAGATAGTCACAAAATTCAACCACTAGCTGAGGAGTTGTTGCCAATTGAGAGCTGCTAGGACAGGAAGAGTCAGTTTCTTTAACAGTGCTGCTCCTGGTAAGTCAGCTATTCTCCAAGGAGGCCACATATCCAACAATATTTCAGCAGCACAAATTGGAATTGATGGTTGAAAAAAATGAAAAAAGAATGATGCAGATTTGACTGGGTGGGGAAATAGGAATGAATCTGGGATGATTGGGGGAATAATTATGAACAAAATACATTGTATGAATGCTTCAAAGAATTATTTTTAAAGACTAAAACATATAGTACATGAAAGAAATTAAATGCAAAGAGATTCTGAGATATCAACTGAATAATAAGATAAAGGTTATTCTATAATGGTAGATAAAGTGGATTATAAATGCTAGGTTATATTTATAGATGTTGCTAAACTGCATGAGATATTCTAAGTTAAGAAAAGAGAGCTACTAACAGCATAAACACTAGAAGTGTAAAGTCTGCAGAGGTCTTGTGCAATCAATAAGGATGGACATTTTCTGAACATGGCTTTGGAAAGAATATTCTAAAAGTAGCAATTACTAAATAAACTGAAGGACCAAAGCAGATATAGAGACATTCTGGAGAAAGTGGCATAAAAAATAGTAATAAGGCCCTAAAATGCTGAAAAATGAGTAGAAGGGTCAAATATAGAAGTCAAAGTTTAAGGTGAAAACATCAAGATTTGGTGACCAATTGAATGTGTCAGGCAATGGAGAAGAGAACAAAGAAGTCTTGTTTTATTAATTTTTTTCGTTTATTTTACATACAATCCAGTTTCCCCTTTTTCCTCTCCTCCTGTTCCTTCCCATCCCCTCCCGTTCCTTCCCATCCCCTCCCATCTATGTCCCCATTCACTCCTCCTCCATACAGAGATGTCTTCTAACAAGCTAGAAATTCTTCCTGGAACTCAGCAGTTTCTCAAACTAAGTTAACAGAAAGGACTATCTGTGACAAAATTAGGGACGAATTTACCCTTGCATTCATGCCTTTGTAGTATAGTATGTTTTATAAATTATGTATGGATGTATATATTATGTATTTATAAAAATTTCTCTACATAATCTAATAATGAAATATAAAGAGCAAAATTACATCGATTAATAGGAAAATGGAGAAACTGGAGATTTTATTCAGAAATTAAGACAGTCTCAGAAAGTTAAACATAGTATGTTTTGTCTTATTTAGAAATTCTTGATTTTTATAGACATAAAATCGTGTATCTATAATATCATGAAAGGAGAAACAAAATTGTGTAGCAGAATGAAGAAAGCTATGGAGAGAGAATATGGTTGAAGTACATTATATCCTTATATGAAAATGTCTTGATAAAATGTAGTGCAATGTATAATCACCACACAATGAAAAGCAGAGAAACTGGTATTCAGTTGGTTTTACAGTAAAATCTAGCATCAGAGCCCACAAGAGCACACCCATCATATACTCTTCTCTTTACAAAACTGCAGTATCAGGCCTGTGTTTTGGTCTAAATATGGCAAATGTTAGAATAAATTATGGTATCTCAAAAAAATATTATCTTCTTTTTCAGTGACCTGATCTTGCAGCTTCATCTAACCTCGGTTGGTCATACTGTGCTTTCATGGTGCTACCTCGAGGTTCATGTTTCTATTCCATTAAGCTATACTACAAAGGCACTGACTTAAGAATAAATGCCTTCAGTCCTAAACGGGATGCCTTTGTTAAACCTCTCCCTTCAAGGCTCAGGAATTTATGTGGGAGAGGAAGCAGAAAGATTCTAAGAACCAGAGGTGGTAGATAAGTTCAAGGAAGCAATATTTTTTTAAAAAAAAAATTAAATAAATAAAAATAAAGAACAAATGCCTTGAACTCAAGCAAAGTAATTCACACTTCATTCTCCCTTCTTCAGAATGATCTCAGGTTTTCTAGTTCATCTGACTCTTCACAAAAATTTTAGAATAATCTGACCTATAGTTTCAAAGACTCTTGTTGATAAATCCCAAAGTCTTTAAAACAAGTTGTATAAAGATAATTTCCTAGTATGTATATGTATATGTATATGTATATGTATATGTATATGTATATGTATATGTATAAGATAGGCCCACTTGAGCTCCTTGCTTACACATCCAACCACCTATTTACAAGTGTCCCTTGGACATCTGCTTTTTAATTTACTTGAGGATATTCACCACATCCTCACACTTATCCTGCAACTTCCTCCCATCTTAGTAAATGATACCAGATGATAGTAAAAAAAACACTCCAGGAAACTCCTGCTTCAGGCCCAGGCCTCTGTTTTTGTACAACTGATATATGATACAATCTAGGGGTCCTGATCAGGTTTGTCTTTTCTGCTAGGTAAAGAATTAAAAGGTAGGAAAAACCTAAAACCTGAAGTATGATAGATAGCTGCAGAGAAATCTCAAGCACCTCAAACAGAACCAGCAGTTAAAGAAAGGTATTACTGGAGGTGAGAAAACATACAAAGGCAGCAGACACAGAACAAAGACCCTCTGCCAAGTGGGAGTGGGGTGAAAACCCTGTCTATCCTGGGGGGGGGGTGCTGGAGGCTTTAAATCCTTTGAAAAGTTTTCCTCCCCTAATTTAGTGTTGGTCAGTTTGTAGAAAGCTGGGGTAGTTGATTAGCCCAGAACTGTGGTGGGACATGTCTTCAGTCTTGAACTCCTTCTTGACCATGCAGAAGCAGAAGATCTGCTGATAGAAAACAAAAGCTTTTGTGTCAAGTCAGAAGGGTGAGGAAGAAGCTGGATATCATGGAACTTTGCCACTTGTACTACCTAGCCTTGGCCCCTCTCCCTATGTTTGCCTACTAGGGAGTTTAGCTAACACCTAGTCTCTCACCTATGTTTTATGTGTAGGATATTTTTGTCCTTGTGTACAGGCTGAACCACTATCCCTGAAAAAATACTTACAGGTAAATTTTACTTTCCTCTTCTACTGACAAAGGCTCTATGTTGAGACCATAACTTCATTTAACCATCATACCAACTCTTTTGTGGATACTAAGGCATATCAAATTTTTTGGGAAAGGTAAGTGGAGCAATGGGAGAAAGGGTGCACAAGTATGGCTAATGATTCTACCAGGCAAGAATCCAATAGATTTGGTTCCAGAAATCAAACACACTTACTTATTTACTTTGAGGAAACCTAATGTTCAACAGTCTTACTTTGTTGTATCCCCTCTTTTCTCTCTCTTTCTCTCCCTCCCTCACTACCTCCCTCTCCTTTTCCTCTCCCTCTCCTCCTTCCTCTCTCCTACTCTCCTAACTAAAATATTGCCCCCATCGGGTACCATGGTTTGCCTTTAATGCTGTCTCCTCTAAAGCCTAGTTTGGGACTATAGCTGACCATGATAGCGTGTGACATAGAGTGAGTATTCTAGAGACCAAAGTAAGGAAATCCAGAATTTACAGCAAGCCTAGGCTACATGGTGAGACAACCTTCTGACACACACACACACACACACACACACACACACACACACACACAAGCCAATTGGCCAATTGTATCTGGCTATACTCAATGATCCATGATATTTACCGAATTAATACATTGAGCTAGACTAGTGTTCCCTCCAATCCAAACTAGCCTACTTAAAAATACCTCTGAAATGACTTCTTACATTTAAAAAAATCTGTCAAGGAAAAAAAATACTGAGAAAGAATAGAAGACGGCTACTTTGCTTTTAAGTCATTCAGATGAATACTTTTTAACCATTTTTCCCCTGTGGTGGCAAAGATAATAGATATGTCACCACCATTTATTCAATGTAAAGTAGAAAAGTGACTCTAACCTTTGGCTGTTTCCCTTGAAGTTGTTGCTCTCCAGCTATCTGAACCACTGTGTTCTTCCAAAGTTTTGGATCTACTACTTCCCCCACATTCTCCTCTCACGATTGACGGAAGCATTTTTCTTCTGCAGCATCTATGAGTCACTAGGGGAATGTTTTGAGGGTTTTTTTTTTTTTTTTTACTAGCTCTAAGCAGAGACCTTTGATCGCAAGAAAGACAAAGAATGGAAGTAGGGGTGATTTCTCACTCTTCTGACGGCTTCGGGGAAGTCTGCGGTACTGGCTGACGGCATACTCCAGCAAACAGGTCTTACAAGGTACTCATGTCTTCCAGGAGTCCGTCTCACCCCGCAATCTGTTCTGAGGCGGTTTGGCAGGAGTCCGCCAACAGTACAGGGAGAGAAGCTCAGTCGCGCATGGCTCCCGCCACAAGCGCAAGCATTCTTTGATGCCATAATCACACATCTTTTTTTTTTTTTTTTTTTTTTCTAACAAAACGAAGTACCACGCAGTGGCGGCGCGAGGTTGCAGATCTTCGTGAGGCAAGAGGCCACCAGCTTCAGGTGTGAAAGGCCAGTTCCCTCCCAGCACGTTTCCGGCGGGCGGAGGAAGCGGCCTGCGCGCAGCTTCGCGCCTGCCTGCGTCAGAGGTCCCGCACTTGCGCAGGGCCGCCTTCCTTCTCTGGTAGCACGCAGGCGCAGAGGAGCAGCTTGGGGCCATGGCGGCGGCGGGCACGCTGAGGGGCTTGGCAGTGGCTGGCGGAGGCGAGAGCAGCGATAGTGACGATGACGGCTGGGATATTGGGTATCTGGACCGGTCGTCTCAGGTAGTGGAAGAGGCGCCGCCTCGACGGCCCCTAATTTAGGCCTCCCCTGGCTTTTGAAAGAGAGGCCCAGACCCACCACCCCCTTGTTTCCTCATGCCCACCCAGTTCCCTAACTTTCTCCCAGGATTTTGAATTGCGCATGTTTCGGGTTACTAAGCAAACTGGCAAAGTGTTCCCGTGTTCGCCAACTGCTGCTTTCTTCAGTGGCATCCTTTAGGCCTCAGACATAGCGCTTCGCTTGGATTTGGCTCGGACTCTTCACGCATTTTATTTGCCCGCCAAAGCGAAACAACCCTATGTACTTCGTTCTTTCCTGATGCAATGGGAATGAAAATATACATAACGAGAATTTTAACTTCCTGCTCTTTTAGAAATTGAAGAGGTTGTTACCAGTTGAAGAGAAGAACGAAACTTTTAAGAAAGCGCTGACCACTGGCGACATTTCCTTAGTGAAGGAACTCCTAGACTCTGGTGAGAGCCAAGAAATACTGTCAAGCAGAGTTGTCTAAGTTCACTAGACTGCCTTATTTTTAAAGTTTGTGCTGTTTTCCTAATGAATGTTAGTGTAGCTATTGTATTATTCATGCCTTAGTTGGCTTTTTCTCTACCTGACCTATTTTCTTCAATTCCCCTCTTATTTGGAACGTGTTGCCAATGACTTTCCATTGGTTCTTGCACCTTCTTTAAGAGACAAGTTCTGACTAATCCAACCCCACCTTGATTGTCACTTTCCATTGGTTCTTGCACCTTCTTTAAGAGACAAGTTCTGACTAATCCAACCCCACCTTGATTGTCTTTTTTAACTATTTACTTGGCTTTCATATGCTTCTTAAGATCTCTTTCAAGTTCTGTTTCCATCTGTGTTTTGTTACATTTTGGTGCATATTGCCTGAGTTCAATATCAGAATGAATATCTGCATCCGTATTTCTTCTAGTTTCATGGCCTATTCAGTCTGATCCCTTGGGGAGGTCACTTAAGCGTTCAGGGCATCAGTTTCTTAATGTAAAGTATAATTTTATCCTGGGTCCCATAATGCTTTCTGATAGCATAAGTAAAACTTACTTTAAAATTACTTCCACATGAAAATTAAGTTGTTGACTCTAATGGTTGAAATTATGCAAGGATTAACAACTGTTAAACAGCTCTAATATACAAAATACACACAGCATGAGAAGTCATGAACAGCAAGTGTTTTTCTTCTTTGCTAGAGACAATATATCATTTACTGAAAGTACATTATTGGGAAACACGATCATGTGTTGATTACTGTCCATGACACTTGATGGCTCTGTAATATTAAATCAGCTGTCAGAGTTTTGTAAGCTCCAGTTTCCCCATTTTTAAAAGGATCTCAACATTCTACCCAAGGTTATTGGAAATAAAATAAGACAATATGTAAATAACAGATTAGAATACATAGCTTTCATGTTACTGTTAGCTTAAGAGTTATAAACAATATATAAATCTGTTTTTGTAGCAGATGAGGAAGTTCTGTCTTACTTGTGAACAAACACTGGACCTTGTTACTCACTTGAAGTTCAATACGACTTCAATAAGGAAATAAAGAGGACTGGATATATAATATGAATGTATGGATAGTGAGCATAGTAATGATGGGGTAGAATAGGCAGAAGTTTTAGAGAAGAGAATTTGTCCTCAGAATAGCAGGACAGGTGTTGTTAAAGTTGATAGAACATTATGTATCAGGATTTAATATGATTGGTGGCAAGTTGGGGCTTTTCAGCCTCTTGAAAAGAGCCTGTGGCTATGTAAGTATTTGGTTAGCCATTTGAAATTTTTCTTTAATTATAAAACCATTTAAAACTCATTTTAAAAAGCCAATAATAAATGTATAAGGAGAAAGGTATTTTTCTATTGCTTCTACAAAATAAGTACTAGAGTTGATAATCAGTAAGAATTTTTATTCCAAAAGTCAACATTTACTTCTCTTTTGTTATACTTTGTCTTTCTATCTTTGATACCACGGTTTTGGTAACAACTGCCAAAGAAAAGAATAATAACTAGAAGAAAATAATGATTGTAAGTCTGAACTCATTTTCTGATTATTGCAGTGGTTTAGAGGGGAAAAAAATGTTAGCAAGAACAAATTCAAGTCCCCCCCCCATAAAGTTTGGCATTTCCCCAGTAATTACCATATACATTATGACAATTTATCTAAGACAGTTGGAGATTTTACTTCTATAGTCTTCAGTGACTTATTGCTTCAACATGAGAAAAAAAATGAGCCCCTCAGAGCATTTCCTCAGTGATGACTTTTATCTTTCTAAGTAGAATGCTGTAATTAAGGACCATAAAAATCTGTGAATTATAAAATATTAAAGCCAATACTGTTGGCCATACAATTTTCTTTGAAATAGAAAAACATTCTCTTTTCTTTTCTGAAATTGACAGGTACTTAATTGTTAGTTATTATTATTACTAATTTTAATTTTATATATATATGAATGTTTTTCCTGAATATATGTCTGTAAACCGTGTGTGTGCCTGGTGCAAGGAAAGGGTATTGGATCCATTGGTACTGGAGTTATAACAGTTATGAGTCACCACGTGGGTGATGAGATGAGATTCCAAGTTCTCTGGAAAAACACACTTAACACTGAGCCATTCCTCCAGCCTTTCTACCATGCAAGTGTCAATAAAAAATTACCCTTTACTCTTAATCTCTTTAAAGGAAGAGGTTTATATTAATTTAATGGGTTGGGTTTATTGCCTTACTGTATCTTTGTCCTTGTTACACACATAGCTTCTATACTCCTTAATCCTAGGTTAGTTCAACCTTTTTTGTTTGCTTTCTTCACATTGCTAAGCCAGTATTATTGAGGAAATTCTTATTATTAATTCAAGGAATTTGTAGCATTAATGATTTGAAGATTTTACCATTGTCCTTTCTTGGCAGTTATTACCTGTCTCTGTCACATTCTAAATATGATTTACTATATAATGTGTGTGGGTGTTTTATCTGCATGTTTGTGTAGCACATTCAAGCAGTGCCATAGAGGCCAGAAAAGGGCATAGATACCATGGAACTAGAGTTAAATATGGTTATGAACTGCCATGTGGGTGGTGGGAATCGAACAAGGTCCTCCTTATCCCTCTCTCCAGCCCTGTCTCTACTAAATAGTGACGAATTTAGATGTTATTTTATATTCAAGGCCTGACGTTTTCATACCTCTCATTATTCTGGTTCTCTCCTTGTTATTCATTTTTCTAAAGTAAAACTTAATATTAATATTTTGCTTGTTCTTTTAATCAGACCTCCTCAAAGTAACTAATTTGTACGATACTATCTTTCAATTTCCTTTTGTTTTCTATCCTATTCCTTTCTCTTGCCTGTTCTTGGTTTTGTTGTTGTCCTATATACTTCCAGCTTCCTGTTGGTCTTGTTGCCTCCTGTCCCATTCTCAACACTAGTATATTGTGTTTATAAGATAGATATAATATAACATAATATAATGTAATATAATAGTATTGATCCTTGGATTACACATTGAAGTCTGCATTTCTCAACAGAACTTTAGTGATCCAACCCTAACTTTAAGTCTTGCTTTATCAATTTACCCATGGGTTTTGTGTTGGTAAGAAGTTAAAGATGTCTCGAGGGTGCACATGGTAGTTGCAGCCATAGAGATGTATGGTACTGCTCAAATCTTCCTCAATACCACACTGAAAAAGATAGCATGGAAATCCCTATCATATTGTAGATACTGTATTTATAATGTAGTAAACATTGTTCCTATCGGGTCTCATGAAGCATGCTGCCACCATAAAACCGAAGGTAGGAAATTGTAGTAATACCAGTACAAGAATTTTTTGAAGCCTTTCTTATGAAGAAATGTTCTTCCATAATAAATTACATACGTCCATATAAGTTTACATCTACCAAAGTAATAGCGAGGGGTTTTATTTTTCTTTCTTTAGATTGTGGGCCTTTGAAAATTTTGTTTTTATGGGGCGGGATGAAAGATGACTCATGTCAAGAGCATTTGCTGCTCTTGCAGAAGACTGAGATTTGGTTCTGTACATCACTAAGGTAGCTGACAACAGTGTGTAACCTTATCCCAGTTTTTGGAGTTCTGATGCCCTCTTCTGGCCTCTGTGGAAACTACACACCAGTGGTGCATATATATTCATTCAGGCCAAGGTTCATATGTATACAATTTAAAAATAAGGGCAGGGAACCCTGACTGCTCTTTGGATTGGAGAGGGAGGGGGAGAGGAGTGGGGGGAGGGGGAGAAGAGTGGGAGGAGGGGAAGGAGAGTTGGGGGAGGGGGAGGGAAATGGGAGGCTGGGAGGAGGTGGAAACTTTTTTTTTTCCTATTCTCAATTAAAAAAAAAATAAGTCTTGTCGGACTGGAGAGATGACTCAGCAATTAAGAGCACTGGCTGTTCTCCCAGAGGACCTGGGTTCAGTTCCTAACATCCACATGGCAGCTAACAACTGCCTATACTCCAGCTCAAAGTACTCTGACATCCTCATACAGATATGAATGCAGACAAAACACAAATTCACATATACATGGGGAAGTAGGTAGGGGATAGACAGACAGACAGACAGACAGACAGATCATTAAAACAAATTTGTCTCTACATCGACAGGCATTAATGTGGATTCCAGCTTCCGGTATGGATGGACCCCTCTTATGTATGCATCTAGTGTGGCCAATGTAGAGATGGTTCGCTTTCTTTTGGACAGAGGTGCTAATGCAAGCTTTGATAAGGGTAAGATGCTTGAGAAAATTTGACTTTGCTTTGTATTGTGACTCTTTGATTTCCATGCAAGAGTTAGACTAAATGAGAAATTAAAGTACTTTAAAAATAAATAAATAAATAAGTAAATAAATAAATAAAGTACTTTAAGCAAAAATCTACTAGTTATATTTTATAAAAATTAGGAAAATTCAAATGTAAAGCATATATTTTTAAAACTATCTCAAAGAAGATAGGTTAACAACCTATTTTTGTTATCCTAATAACAGTTATATTTTAAAGTACTTTTAAATAATATGCTAGATGATTTTGGTTGTTTTTAAATAAAAGCACACTGAAAGGAGTATCAGAAGGCCGGTAATTTTTTTTGAAAAATTACTTAAATTTTTTTATATGCTTGAAAATTGAATTATATTAAAGTTGTTTCATAGTTTATTGAAGCTATGTTTTCTTGCTATTCAACAACTTCCTTTTAGTGCTGGGAGTCCATTCTAAAGAGCAAGAGTGTATATGTAAATCCAGTTTGCTGCATTAAAGCAGTGATTACATTGTATTAAAATTTTTCTAGTAGACATTTGAATTCATTTCATATTTTAGGTATAAGTTATGTTTCAGGATTAATTTTCACATTTTTGATCTACATGAGCTGCTTACAAAACTATTTCTACAGTCTATATATTTTAAAGAAATTCTCTCTTGGTTGCATTCTTGCTGAGGTTTTGCTTTTCATTATGTCATTTGAAAACATCATTCAATGAAAGCCATATTTAAGAAGGAGAGTTTCAAAAGTATATAGAATACTCTGTTCAAAAAACATGGTTTTCCTTTTTATCAGAGAAGTACTTTTGGTTGTAAGGCATTTTGTATTTTTACAATATGTACACATAAATTTCTCTGTACCTAAAGTAACCCCATTCAGTAGGGAGTCCAGTTATTAATTCCTTCATTATTAATTGGATGCAAAATATTAAGGCATCCTCATAGTGACACTATAAATGATAATACTGGATCAGGTATAATTATGGCTTGTCTGTGTTAAGTCATTAATGTAAAGAATGGCTGTGATGTCCTATTTCATTTCTAGTATTTGAAAAGGGTTTTTGTTGTGGTGTTGTTATTTGTCTTTAATCATCCTTGATTTCCACCACTTTTAGAAAACAGGATGAATTCATAGAGTAGAAATGACTTAAAAAAAAAAAAAAAAAACACTGATGGATGCGGGACCAGCAAGATGGCATAGCAGAGAAAGGCACTTGCTGCCAAGCCATGCATGATTATGTAAATTTCATCTTTGAAACCATGATGGAAGGAGAGACCCAGTTTCAAGAAATTGTCTTCTGATCTCTTCATCGGTACAGTTTACAAACAAATCAAGGATTGTCAGAAGTGAAGTAAAACCAGAGACTGTTGTTATTTTCTAATCACAAATTCAGCAAAGTAGTTTTTTTAATTTTTCAATTAAAACATCACATGCAGGCTATACAAATTCATTTGTGCCTAACCACTTTCTACTCTCTTAAAGAGATAGTAATAAGGGAAGAAAGTTAAGATATGAATTGGCACACACTTTAGAGATACAAAAGGCTCATTGATGAGATGGTGAAGTCTGACTGGAGTGCAAAAGATGGGAAGAGGTTGGGAATTTTAGAGTACAGTAAATACTTAGCATGGTAAAGAAGGCATTTAGAGACACTTCCTAATGTGTGAGGATTTCTTTGCTTTTCTTCTCATATAGACAAGTTAACCATCTTGATAACTGCATGTTCTGCTCGTGGCTCAGAGGAGCATGTCTTGAAGTGTGTAGAGTTGCTACTTTCACGAAATGCAGATCCAAATGTTGCTTGTAGGTAAGAATCTAATTCTCTGATGAAAACATACTTTATCAGCCTGTTATATTTGATAAAATGAGTTCTTAAAAATCAATAGCATTGTTTACTTGGCCCAATAGTGAATAAAAATGCATCATAAAGTCATAATTTCTTTATTAAAATGAGATAACATAAAGGTAAACCTCTGGCTTTTAAATTTTAAAGGAGTAAGCATTTGTAACTACATGGAAAGAGCTCTGTAAACCTATTTCCTGTGAATCATAGCCTTAGAAGAGCATGGTGGTTGAACAATAGTATAGTAATAAAGTTTCTCAAGTTTTTTTCTGCATGTAAAAATTAAGAATTTGGGTCTGGCAAGATGGCTCAGTATTTAGGAGACGTATATACTGCTGTTGCAGAGGATTTATGGTCAGTTCCCAGAAACCACATTGGCTGGCTCGCAACTACCTGAATCTGTAACTACAGGGAATCCAACATCATCTTCTTAACTTTTTTTTTAATTTAATTTTATTTTTGTTTGTTTTGTTTTTGAGACAGGGTTTCTCTGTGTAGCTTTGGTGCCTGCTCTGGAACTAGCTCTTGTAGACCAGGCTCTCCTCAGACTCAAAGAGATCCTCCTGCCTCTGCCTCCCAAGTGCTAGAATTAAAGGCATGCACCACCACCACCAAGCTGTCTTCTGGATTCTTTAGACACTTACACTGACATGCACATAACTAAAAATAATAACAAAATAAGTACTTTTAAAAGAATTAGCAGTTTTATTTATAGAAATACTGAGAAAATACACTGTAAGCAATTTTTCTCTATCCCAACTGCCAACTACTAAGTAACCACACCAAGACTTCTTAATTAACCCATTTCTACTACTCTACCTATTGCCTCGTGGCTTGTGGCTGTATGTGCCCTCCAACATGTCTTGCTCCCTCTGCATCTCCTGGTGACCCTGTGCTTCTCCTTCCCAGTGTTATTGGCCATTCACCTTTTTATTAAGCCTATCCATATGACAAATATTCGCAATGTGCACAAAGATCATTCCATAACATCCCTTTTTGTTTAAGTAAAAAGGAAAGGTTTTAACTCTCACATAATAAAACTATAAGCAGTACAAACAGCTATCAGGTAAAAGCTATATTTACAATGTCCAATCCATTTTTTGACATATTTGGAGAAAATATTGCATTATTTATTCTATCCTGATGAGTCCAAAGCTCTGTGCCTTATTTACCTTTTATTGTAACTAAGGAAAATTGTAACTATAACTATCTAGTATTCATCTCTATCAAAGACCCCAGTAGGCTATAATATTACCTGAGTAAACAGTAAATGCAGTACAAGTCACTTACAAACCTAACAGTAATGACAGAAACAACTAACTGCTTGGATAATCACCCAAACTTCCTCTGCAACATTGGGGCATCCATCTTTGGCCTTCAGGCCTAGAATATCTGACAGACTTCTGTGAAGCACGAATTTTTGAAGGACCTTCCTACCCATTCATGGCATTTTGGCAGTCACTTTTCTTTGTGTTCCACTGGTTCAGTTTGGACAGCATATTGTCAGCAGTCAGGACAAGAGCAGTTTCTTACCCAAATGACTAGCTTTTGCCACAAAGAAGCATTCCATGTGAACCTTCTTTGATGCCCATTATCCATTTTGGAAGTAGATTGGTACTGCCAGGAGCAGACATATCTCACCAGGAGCAGATATATCTCAGTCATAAAAAGCCTTATGCCATATTTGCTTCAGGAGCTCCTTCTGCTCCTTCAGCCAATAGCCTTTAAGATACCAGCCCACTTGGGTGTGGTCTCTATGGCTTGAAAAAGCAGCCATAGCCACACTCTCCCTCTCTTGCTTCGGTCGTGCAGAGGGCTGTTGTCTAGGACAGTGATCTGTAAGTTTTTCCCTTTAAATAAACAATCATAATTTTTATTAATTTTACTAATCATAATTCCAAACTGGTGTGGGATTGTTTTGTGACTTACCCCTTTAATATTCTATAGGTCCTTGAAATGTTTGAAGACCATCATCTATCTAAATATGTATGTGTGATCTTGAAAGCATACCTAACATGCCTATAAGTTTGACAGTTATAGATGACTATTAACCTGTATTTCTTATCCTAAATAGCTTTCAAAGACTTAAACGTTACATAACCTTTTTAGATGAGTTTCATAGGTACAATACATTAAAGAAGATTAGTAACATATATACAATATAACAAAAATAACTTTAAATTTGTATCAGTATACAAAAATCCATACCAATGCAAAATATTTGAAATTAGTGATTGCTTAAAAGTAGACTCAATAATCCATCGTCTTAGCTCATCATTTTTATACTATATTCCACTTTTTTCCTTCAGAGAGAGATCCTTGAATCTAACTCCTTTGTTTAGCTCTTTCCCTAACCATGACCAACAACAACTTGTACCCAACCCCCCTAAATGATGACAAACATCTGAAACTCATTCAGTGATCAAAAGCTATCCATTCCACCTTACCTTAGGCATGTGGGCATTATATTCTCTAGACTACTTCATGTTGTCTGGGGACACTGGAATCTTTAGAAGACCCTGGGAAAATTGGGATAATGGTCAAGTTCAAGGAGAATTAGCAGTATTATTTGTTGTCCAGGCTCTGTGTAATAGGAAATGCAAGGCTTATCTGAAATCCAGGTTAGAGCAGTCTGTGAAGCTGGACCATCTCAGCCTTAAAGCTGTTCTGGATGCAGAACTCTGAGGAAACTGCAACAGAGGCACTCTTGAGAGTCTGTATCACCTGGGCCACTCATTTTTATTGGTGTCCAGTTCCCTTGCTCTGAAAACACATAAACTTTCAAAGGTAACATACGTATCTACATTAATACAAGTATGAAATGTGCAGTGTGCACAGGTCAGTTAAAGGTGGTTTTCTGCTTTATGTTTGAGCAGGTAAGAACATCTGTCAACTTTATAATACATTTGGACTGTATAATCAAATTGTAATGTAAGTTTCTCTCTAACCAAGCCATATGAAAAGGTGGTATATAATAACTCATGAGGACTCTAGCCAACAAAATTTATCATGTCTCATCTCAGAGCTGTTTCCATGTCAAAGGATCAGCTTAAACATCACCTGTCCTGTAGTCTTTTTTTTTTTTTTTGTCTTCTTCCTCCATGTCTCTAGCCAAGATATTAGGAAGTTTCCAAGCCAAATCTGATCTTTGTTAATCTGGAAGGAATTTACAGCCTTTTGTTTCCAGAGGAAACCTCTCCCCGAACACAACATGTTATGTGACTTCCATTTTGACATTAAGGCGTTTTAAAAGCGGAAGAGTACATCATAAAATCAATTATTTTACTGAGTCCAGGAAGCAAGTCTTATTTTAGGCCATTTCCAAAGTTCCAAATTTAAATGACAGCAGCACACTTGGATTCAAATCAACTAATAATTTTTTTTCAATTTCAAGGCACAACCAGATCTAAAATATATACTTAAGAGTTATTATCTAAAGAGAATAAATGCTAAAAAAGTAGTATGCTAAAAATTATCAGATAGTTTTAATATCCCTTTTTAATCTTTAGTTTTTAAATGAGATTATCTGTATGGCTTTTCAACAATATATCAGGGTTTCTTAACTTTAACACTATTGACATTTTAGGGTTAGTAATTCTTTGTTTAGAGGGGATATCCTATGAATAACAGAATATTTTACCGGCGCGTCCTTGACTACTAAATGTAGTGATATTTTTCCAGTGCCATAATCAAAAGTATCTTTGCAGAGTCCCAGTGTGGTATGGAATCCAAAATAGGTCTTGCTTGAGAAATACTCCAAATAGATAAAAATCTTTTTTTTTCTTTCAGTACTTTCACAAGATATTATAGGTAGTACCCAGGCATGGCAGTCCATGCCTGTCAGTATCCAGCAGTTTGAAGCAGGGGAATTATAAGTTCAAAGTCAAGCCTGTACAACTTACAGAAAGACTGTGTACCAACAGCAAGTAGTGAAAGCTTTGCCTTCTTACTGACTAACTTAGAAGCATCCTAAAGGAGACATCAAAGCAATGTGTCATGAGTTCTAGTCTAGAGATCATCTTTCAGATACATAGGATAGATCTTAAATGAAATGTCATGTAAAAGGAAAGTAATCTCAGGACACAGGAGAATATAGTGAGATTTGGAGGGAACTGAATACATAAATCATAATTCAAAAAACTGATGCCTATTTGAATATTGGAAGGTTTAGTTTTATGTATTATATACAAAATATACCAAATATAAATGTAAGAGGAATTATTCAAATGTCAGGGAGAAAACAGACATTTACATGAAGGTACTTTTAGTCTGTTGACTTAGGAATTCTTTTGCTCATAAAAAGTATCTAGAGTGATAGAAGAGATCCATAAAGCTTATAAATGACTAATTTTATAAGAGCTAGATGATCACCTAATTGCTAGTTGTCTAGGAAGATTTTCTTTTTAACAAAAATGAGGTCTGTAGTCTTATTTCATGAATAAAAGTAGTAACAAAGCCATATAGGTCAAGCTGTAAGCTAAAATCTGAACTTTCTGTTCTCATGTCTGATGTGGCTTGGGCACATCTACATCTGCAGAAACAGCCCTAAATACAGAGTCTTTGTAGCTAAATTAGCAGGGTGAAGAAAATGAGGAATTCACTTGTTTGTTAGAAGATTCTTTAGGAGTCTGTAGACTTTTACAATGAAAGTGAGTTATTTGAATCAAATTGCTTTGTCAGTTTTTCTTTAAAAAAATGAGAAGAAAGAAAAACGTTAAGAGTAAATGTTAAATATTCTATTATTTTGTTTGCTAGAAGTCTTTTGGAATAGTACTAATGGATTCCTGTAATAATTTAAGTTTTTAAGATTATAGAAAATTAACATGCAGTAAAGAATTTACATTTTAGTGTATAATTGACTGAAGCAGTACACATTTATGTAACCACACTGTAAGCCAGCATTTCTATCCTTCCATAAAGTTTGCTGGAACCCTTTCCTGTTAAATCCCCTTCTTTAGTGGCTA